ATCCGGTGCTGCTCTCTGCTTCCAACATGGCACCTTGAACACTGAATCCTCTGGAGGGGAGGAATGTGGTGTCCTCACATGGCAGAAGGTGAAAGGGCAAAAAAGGGACGAACTCCCTTTTATAGCAGCACTAACTGCCAGTGCTCATGACCTGAATACCTCTCCAAAGGCCACATCTTCCTATGCTGTTCCATTGGGGATTAAGTTTTCAACACAGGAATCTTGGGGGACATATTCAGACCATAGCATTCTGCCTCTGGGCTCCCCAAATTTAAGTTTTTCTCACATGCAAAATGCACTCATCTAATACCAATAGCTTCAAAAGCCTTAACTTCTTCTAGCATCAACTCAAAATTCTGAAGTCCAGAGTCTCATCTAAATCAGATATGCGTGAGACTCAACATACGATTCATCCTGAGGCAAACTGCTCTTCAGCTGTGACCTTGTGAAATCAAACAAGTTATGTGCTTCCAAAATGCAATGATGGGATAGGAATATGGTAGACATTCCCATCCCAGAAAGGAGCAATAGGCAAGAAACAAGGAGTAACAGGTCTCAAGTAAGTACAAAACCTGACACAGTGGCATGAGCTGCACCTGTACTGCTTGAGTAATAACTGGGGGGGGCCATGGAGGGCTGCACTGGAATATGGGAAGTAGACTCTAGAGGCATCCCTGGGCCGAGCTGCACCTGTGACTGCTTGAGTCATAACTGGGGGGGGGGCCATGGAGGGCTGCACTGGAATATGGGAAGTAGACTCTAGAGGCATCCCTGGGCCACAAACCCTGAGGCCCCTTGAGCACCCTGGGTCCCTCTCCAAAACTGTTCTGCCCCCAAGGTCCTCATATTCTGGGCCTGTGATAAGAAAGCCTTCCCTAAACATCCCTAAAATGCCTTTGGGATCATTCCCTCCTATTGTCTTGGTGAAAAGCACCTGGCTTCCTTCTATCTCTACCAATCTCCTTATCAAAATGGTCACTTGGCCACACTCTTGGCCATGTTTTATTTTTTATGTGGCCAGGCTGAGATTTTTCCAAATATTTACATTCTGCCTCCCTTTTAACTATACATTCCATATGGTTTATCTCTTCTCACATTTTAATATAAGCAGTTAAGAAAAGCCACATAGCATCCCAAACATTTTACTGCTTGGAGATTTCTTCTGTCAAATATCCTAGTTCATTGCTCTTCAGTTCTGCCTTCCACAAAGTCCTAGGACATGAACATATGAGGGTACTTAAAAGAAGTTTGTGGCAAAATTAAAAAGATAATACAAATATTTCTTTTTTGAAAGACCCCTTGTAATTCAGCAAAGCTTGCCACTTTGCAACAAGGATGGTCTTTCACCCACTTTCCAATGACATATTACTCATTTCTGTCCTCATCAGAATGGCCTTTACTCTCCATATTTCTACCAACATTCTGATCATGACCACTTAAGTAATCTCTAAGAAGAATGAAGCTTTCCCTACAGCTCTTCTATTCTTCTGAGTGCTCACCAGAATCACCCTTAAATCTGTTCACGGTAAGGCTTTTCCCAGCATTCACTTCAAAACTGTCCCAGCCTCTGCCCATTACCCAGGTCCAAAGACACTTCCACATTTTTAGGTATTCCTCTAGTACCAATTTCTGTATTAGTCCATTTTGTGCTACTATAACAGAATACCTGAGACTGGGTAATTTATAAACAACATACTGTTGGGCTAATCAGAGATTGGCTCATGCCTAAAAGAATAACTTAAAAAGATGCACTGAGAAACAGAATTTTGTTGAATTTTTCTTCTGTCACTTTATGTGTAAACAATTCCAATCATCTAGCATTGAGAGGGGCTCCCCAAAGTAATGTGCCAGTCTTGGGCCACATTCATAAAAAATGAAAAGCACTCACGGGAATGTTGTTCTTGATTTACCTGCAATGAATAACAACAACAGTAAAGATCCTATGAGTAAGCTGTCACTTTTAATCAAACATCCAAATTATTGGGGGGCTTTCAGATGTCAAGATCTTGGGGCATGTACTCGGTCTACAACACACTGTCCCTGGATATTTTTCCAGACATCTAGAGAATAGTCTGAAACAGTGCCCAAGCTTACCAGCAAGCATTCTACATTTAAGAGAAACTTTATCACTATTGAATTATCATGTAGAGTTATTTCCACAGAATCCAAAGTGACAAAGCACATAGTCTTCCTCAGATGAAACCAGGAAGCTGGGGGAAGATATGACTAAGTAAATCAGCACAGAATTTCTGGGTTACGCAAACAAATGAAGCAAGCTTTACACCAGCAGCAGCAGTTCGTCTCAAAGGGCATTAGCAAGCTTTCTGAAGTAGGAAAAACTAAAATGGCATGGAATCACACACTTCCTCTAAATGTGATAATGCTGGAGATCATCATATGACAGTAGCAGAGCCAGCTCAGCCTTTCCCAGAGGACAGAAGACTTGTGATATTTTCATGGACGTTATGGACGATATGGTGCTCTCTAATGCCATCATGGAATCTAGTGCTAAAAGGGACCTTGAGATCCCTGAGGGTGCTCCATGCTGGGCAGTTCCACCTGGTTAAGAGTCCCACAGGCAACACAAGCAGTGAGGGGAGTACAGTGCAAAGTCCGTCAGACTTGGCATCCTCTGTCACAGATATGAACGCATTTCTCTCAGTCTGTCAAGAGAATTAAGTGAGGTAGTGGATGTGGTTTGTCATGGCAGTAAGTTCTTAATGTGTGTGCGCTCTTGACCCTTCCCACTTCTGTTAAGCCAAATTACACAACCTTATAACTGCTCCCAACACGTAAGGTTTCCATCCGCTGGGCTACAAAGAACTCCTCATCCATTCGAATATAGGAAGGCAATAATCTTGTTCACCTGGAGATTTTCCTCAAACATTCCTCTGAGAACTCGCCTATCCTGGTCCCCTCATTCTTAGACATTCTGAACCAACAGAAGATAGAGTTGGAACTAACAAGAGTTTGGCCACCTAACTACTTAGCCTACACCTCAATCTGCCCATTAGGATCACAGGAGAGCAAAATCTCATCTTCATCACGGTACGCACAACACCCAAGAGCATCGAGGGAAAGAAGTACAAGACTAGGGCTGTGGGCTGGTATTTTCACTTTTATTCAAATGAATACAATACTTGTATATAGCTGATTAATGTACTCCCTTTCTCTTTTTTAGGCTGGTGCACTTTTATTTTTAGATGTGCAGTGCGTGGTCACACAATGTCCATTCTCTATTTTGAAACGAGTGTTTCAGATATACAGCTATGACTTGTCAAAAAAGCCATGGTATTAGGTGATGCCCACGTGAGGTCAATGGCAATGAGGACGAATATCTTTCTTGGTAAACCAGATTTTTATAATGTACCTTTGGATAAAATGCAATCATTTCCTCCCTTTCTTTCCCAGGGCAGGCACTTGAAAATGAGACATTTCAGGAATAGGCAACCTGGTTCCTTAACATCCATTGGATTTGATTTCCCAAGAAAATTCAGTGTGGAAGAAAACTATGTTTAGTGTTTTCCATTACAGTAGAGTGAGACTGATAATGACTAAAATATTTCTGATGTGCTAGAATTTAATTCAGAAATGCAGGAGTTGGAGAAACTTCATTTCTTCTAAATTAGTCTTGCTTTCCCTGAAATTCCATTTTTAAGATTAAGTGTACCTTCTTCAGTTTGAAATTGGTCTGATTAATATCACCTTTATTAGGCAAAACTACTATCCTTTCTGTGGCTTGGCCTCTGGTACCCCCATAAATTAATTATTTTAAATAGAAGTTACAGCTTCAACTGCTAATTGATTGTTTGGCCCACAAGGAACTAGTTTAGGTAGTCACCTCTTCTTATTTGAAGCCAGTTTTAGGGTGAATGCAATCTGCATGGGTCAAATTCAATTCAAAAATCTTAATTCCCATAGTAAAAAAAGCAGCCATAGATAGAGCCCTGAAGCAAGTGAGTCCATGTAATGGCAGATCCACAAGTGTGGGTCCAGGCCAGGCTGTTCATGCTAATACACCACAAGTATGAATAGTGGCCTGGCCTGACTTCCTCCAGCTCCAAGAGTCGCCTCTGCAGAGTGGCTACATCACCCAGAGAGAACAGGGCTGGCATAGAGACTGCAAGACTGTCCCTTCTGAGGAGTACTGGGGAGGACAGAGCTAGTCTTGCTTTTTAGCAACTTCCCACACTGCCTGCCTTTGATCCCACTTCCTCTGTAAAGATGCCATTTGGCTCAGCAGCAACCCCGGGGAGTGAGAGTAAGGCTTGGTGTGTTGAGAACTCCTCCTGCCTCCTTGTGACAGCCAAGCTGGCAGGGTTGTCTGGAAGCCTAACAATAAGCAAGTCTACTTTCTACAAGTAAAAAATTCCAACCACTTCACAGTCACTCCATTAAAGTAAAACTAAATCACTCTGAAAAATAATACACTTCGAAACCCTTTGTCACATTTATAAAAATTAAAGAAAAAACAAAACATTTCAAAGTTTTAAAAAATCCTTAAAAAAATGATGTATCAATAGCGTTCTGAGTAACAAATACAAAACAGTTTAAGACACTTAGTGACTTTCCTAGGTCATATGTCAGGGGGATGGATACATGGTAAGTTTTTACTACTAAAATTATCTATTTGGTAAAAACTCTAGGAAGAGTTCTGTCAAGAAAATAATTGTTTTGGAAAGAAGAGTTACAACTTTTTCCAAAATGTCAAAAATAATAAGGATGTAAACACCTTAAAATGGTAATACAATATTAATTCAGTCAAATAAATAAAAGAAAATGGCACCAACTTCACGGCAATTTTTCAAAACAAAAATGTAGCTCAAGGATATTTTAAAATAAATAATTGCTCCAAACAGGATCATCCTCAGCACAAACTAACAGCATTAAAAAAAAGTACAATGAGAAAAAGTAACTCCACAAACTTCGACCCCTTCACATATGAACAGAAATGTTGTCTGGGTCTTTAGGTCTTATTGAAATATCCATCATAGTACGGCAATTTTTCAAAACAAAAATGTAGCTCAAGGATATTTTAAAATAAATAATTGCTCCAAACAGGAAGGATCATCCTCAGCACAAACTAACAGCATTAAAAAAAAGTACAATGAGAAAAAGTAACTCCACAAACTTCGACTCCTTCACATATGAACAGAAATGTTGTCTGGGTCTTTAGGTCTTATTGAAATATCCATCATAGGGGGAAAGTAAGCTTCACTAGAGGCCAGGCTTAGGGCCATCTTTTGCCATTTTTCTTTTTTCTTCCAGCGTGTGCTTAAATATTTTCTTCAGGGTGTTGTATACTATTGGTCCATTTTCAGAATCAAAATTAACCTGGTGACAAAGAAAATTTATATTCAGGCACTGTAACAAGAATTTTAACCAGTCTTTATTTGGGGAGAAAACAGGAGGGTGGAGGAAAAACTAAGACTTAAAAGCAAAATTATATATTATTTTAAAAACACACATAATAAATTTCACACATTTCAACAGAAAGACTATATTAGACATGCCAACCATGTTTACACCAAACTGATGAATGAAAACTCAAAAATTAAATCTAATGTCTGGATATTTAGTATAATCACATACACTTAGTCATGAAGCCAGTCAACAGGTGAAGTGAGTTTTTAATTCAGACACTGATCACTGAGGGTACAGGTTGAATATCCCTTATGTGAAATGCCTGGTAGCAGAAGTGTTTTGGACTGTGGACTTTTTTGGATTTTAGAATATTTGCAGGTACTTAACCAATTGAGCATCCCTAATCCAAAAAATCTGAAATCTGAAATGCTCCAATAAGTATTTCCTTTGAGTGTCATGTCAGTTCAAAAAATTTCAGATTTTGGAGCATTCTGGACTTCGAATTTTTGGATTAGGGATGTTCAACCTGTGTTAAGGAAAAAGTCTCCCTTATTAAACCAAAGAACATCAGCCGTAAGTGCTGTGCTAAGAGGGCTCAAGGCCCCTCTGGGCCAGTGTCAGAGCGACCTGAATGGAAAGCCTAGCTCTTCACCTGCCAGCCTGCCATGCCTACCTCTCTGGGTCTCAATTTCCTCCTCTGTAAATAAGAGATCACAATGCCCATGTCCTTAGGATTTTTGTGAGCAAAAAATGAAACCTGATATCTATGAGTCTGACATGTTTGGCACATATAAAAACCTCAATATAGTCAGTTTCCTAACTAACGGGAGGTGCCATGTACACATATCTAGATTCTTTGTCCAAGTTTGCCACACTCTGATTTAGGAGTGATAGTAGGACACAGAACCAGAGCAAGTACCCCTGCCCTATGCCCAGAGTCACGTGTGAATCACGGAGAAGGAATCAGGATATCAGGGTTATTGCTTCTCCCCTTGTAGATTCTCTCCTTTTCTGATAAATTTTGACAAAGGGAAGGTTGTGCCCTCTGTCAACAACTGTAAAACATCTGAGATTTTACCCCACTGCAATTTAACCCATCAGCTTGCCAGTGTCATGGATACTGGCAGAAGATGTGAGGCTCCTGGGTTAGGGACAACTTTATTCCTCAGGGCATGATGTGCTTTATAACCACGTAGGTTCTCCTTGCCCCCCACATCCCATGGAAGCAAAGTGGAGGGGCCCAGGTGGGAGTTGCACAAGCAAGGGTTTGCATCATAGTGGAGGAACCCCAAGCTTAGGAAATCCCCATGTTTTATAAAGGGCTGCAAGCAAACCTGCCAACCTTTGCCCTGAAGGGAAACATGATATTTATTATGCAGGAAGGCAGATGAAGTATTTTCTGCCCTACAGGCAGAGCTATACAGACATCCCTGAAGAGCTGGTCCCCAATAAGAGCTGTCAGTGCCTCTGCTCAACAGACTGTGCACCGATGTGCCAGACCCAAGGAGAACAGTCTCCTAAGATTTTTATAGACAGATTTTGAACTGATATTGCTTAAGTTTCCATTAGTATCCCCTTAAAAGGCCAAAAGAAGTTGTAAAGAATTCCAATTGCTTTCAGATAGACCAATATTAAGGATTTTTTCAGTCAAACTCAGAAATTTAATTTTATCTTTATCACTATTATTGTCTATTCTATTTGCAAAAACTCCTTATTAACATTAACCATCGTTTAAATTGTTTACTTTCTTAAACTCCAAACCATAACCCTCCTCGAATGGTAGGCATCCTCTCAACCCATGAAAATGTAAATATAGATGTAAAAGACCATGTGATTTGGATTTGAGACTGTTGACCCTGGAAACTGTGAAGAATATACTGAAAGTATGTTGAGTGGTTAGTGCCATAAAATCCAAATGAGGAACAAGGAAGCCTGCAATAAGGACATCACTTTGGAAAGAGTGGAGGAGAAGGAGATTGGAGAAATATTAAAAAGAAAGAATCTTCACAGCTTGTGAATGATTACAATAGTAACTGCTATTATCATTAATGTTTACAAAGGTTGACATTCAAAACCTGAGTTCTTTGTTCAATGACATTTTCATATCATATATGAGAGATACCAAATCAGCTAAAAGGGTGAGGAGAACCTTTTCTCTTGGCATGAACTTGACTTCTTTCTTCAGCTAGGAAAAACTGCTGCAAACCAAAAGGACGTGCATAGAAAGGAAACTTTCTTTTACTCTTTGTTTAGGATTTGCCAACCAGAACACAGTACCGAATCAGCAATGTTTGATATATTCTTAATAGATATTGTTTAAACCCAAGGTAGCATTAGCTCAACAAGAAAAGATTTTGTGACTCCTACTAGGTCCCTGATTTTAAAATACTTATTCAACACCCAATTGTTTCTCTCTTCTCCTATATAAAAGCTCTTTGTTCTAATGTTCTCCTTCAAAAAATCCACAGTTCAGCTTTTCCTAATATCACTGTTTGGAAGCTATTTTTTTTGGCCAAAACTCTGCAACACATTTTCATTAAGGGGAAACACAACTAAAAGTTTTATTTTAGAGGACGATGGTGACCTCTGGATTCTGATTTACAAAGATGATACTGATTTGGAGGGGGAAAGGAGAGTGCAACCCACCTTAGTGAAAGATTTAATGGCATGGGCAAGAAAAGCTTCCTCTACATCCATGGGAATCTTCTGCAGGTTCACTATGCAATGCAGCACACAAAGAATAGTCTGGTGTTGTCCCTGTTTTTGCAGAAATCAAAATAAAAAAGTTTTTTGAAAAATGCCTAAAGAAATCAACTCAAAACAACTGTTGAGTCAGAAATTGATTTGTGACCAAGTACTCATAATCTCAAATACTAAAATATCTATGAAGAGCTCTACCAAATGTTTATTGTTATGCATTAATATAGTTTGAAAACCTTTCAGGAGATTATCAAGGTTGGTTAGTTACTGCACAAAGAACAACTGAATCAGAAGATGAGTGCAATTTTAAACCAAATGTTTCTCTTGCAGTGAACTGAACAGATTTTTTCCATTCTTGTTGTTTCTGGATATAAGCATTTCAGTTTGGCTAATAGATACTGACATGTCATAGTGACACATGGACTAATCGGTTGAGCACCTAGTGGTCAGTACCTTCCTATCCAGTCCTTTGCAGTTACCAAGGAAGGAGAAGGGCTGATGAAGAAAATGAGCCACAGCCCTCCAGGAGCAATGCAGTGCTTAAGGAAGCAGCCTTTGACTTAAGGTGGGGGAAGATCCCTTAAGAATGTGTCCACTGACTTGACTCCTGGGGGCTGTCCACCTTGGCAAAGGAGAAATTCCATCACCTTGAGCAACACATATCCAAGATGCAAAGCACTTACTAATTTCATATCAATAAATCTACTCTAAGAGCATAATCTGAAATGCAGAAAAACCTACAAGCTCAACTTATCATTAAAATGATACTTATAAAAGTAAAATGCCTAAAACAATGTAAATGCCCTATACACAGCGGCTGGGGGTACATTATGATAAAACAGAGAGCATTATGTGATAGAAATAGCATGAGCTTTGTGCCAGAACAATCCAAGTTTGAATCCTGCTCTGACACATGCTGCAAACCATGGGTAAGTGGCTTCACCTTGCCTTGTCAGTAAAACAGGGCCTCTACCTCCAAGGGTGATTGAGATAAACAGAAGAGAAAATGGACAGTATATCTTGAAGGGCTGGGCCCACAGCCACTCAAAAAGGTTAATATCCTCCCTTATGACCCTCTCCTGTTTTTTTTTTTTTTTTTTTTTTTTTAAAACAAATACACAACTGTGAAAAAGTGGTTAATTATGGCACATCCCCATGTCACAGCATCACACACCCACACCTGTTACAGTCAACATTTATAAAAAGCTTACACTATTCATCGAAAAGTACCTATGTTATAATTTTAAGCCAAAATGAAGTATCGAGTTGTATGTTAAAATGATTTTTACTGGGTTAACATACGTATTGATAAGATTAAAAGAAAAGATTTGAAAATGTTTAAAGTAGCTCTCCCAGGATTATGGATATTTTTCCCTATTTATTTTTGTATTTTCTAAATGTTTACATTGGGTATCAATTTATTCTCTTATCTTGGAAAAACTATTAAATTAGACCTAGATATGGGATTCTGTATGAATTTCCTTTTTTATAATGGATTTTTTTTTTTAGTGTGTGAAACTTATATTGAGGGCCTCAGTTAAATTCATTAACTGCTCCTTTACCTTCTCTAATAAAAACAGCGCTTCTGCGGCTTCCACTTGTCTGTCAACCAACATGTCCACATCCTCTTTGGTGATTATGGGCTCCTTCAGTTGCTCCACCCAAGACCACATCAGACTGCACAGGATGAAAGGGTCCCTTTCACCACATATTCTTTCCCAAGCTCCATCTCGGGAATTTAGTTCTTTCTAAAAAAGAAGAGAAAGACAGAAACAGAGAAAGGATGGAGAGAGGCACACTGCTCAACCGATGATCCTCAGGCTGCCCACCACAGTGAAGGGCTAAGGCTCTAGAGTGCAGATCTGGGACCTCTCACAGTCCCTCCACTTCCAGGCAGGACATTGGACTAAGACTCTGAACTCCTCCACGCCTCAGTTTCCATCCATGAAGCTCATCCCCTGTCTCACAAGGTGTTGGGCTGACTGACAGAGAAGGTCTGTTAAAGCTCATAGCACAGAGAAAGGGCTTAGTTAATCCAAGTCCACTACTTCATTCAGAAACCACAGAAACAGTTCACGAAGAGGGAATCTTCCTTTTCAGGCTTCTGGCAAACAAAACAAAAATATTTATTGCAATGAAGTAGAATAGTAGATAAAAAAGTGTAAATAAGGGAACATTTATAAATTAAACTGGGGTCTTCTATGACTGAAATTTCAAAGTGCATTAAAAAAAGGGCTTTAACGGTGGTAAATGTGGTATAGTATTTCTTTAGAATCCTATGCAGAATTTAACAAATAATAAGCCCCACATCCTGAAACTTGATAGGGTGAAAATAACTAGGAAGTCTTGCTAATGTTCCAAATGCCTGGAGACAATTTAAGCATGAGATTTTAAAACTTCACCTCATAGAGAGCATTGGAGAAGATAAGAATTTTAATTAATTTCTGACAGGGTTCAGATTTATGTTAGTAAATCAAACATATTTTTGCAATAGTAATAAGTGTAATAATTGCTACCATTCATTCATTCACACATCCAATATTTACAGCATGCTTACAGTGGGCCAGAACTGTCATACACGGCTTATCTCTGACTCTCACAGCAACTCAGCAGGGAGGCCCCTCACACATAAATGTACTGGAGCTCAAGAAAGACAAAAGAGCTCACCCAGGAGCCCAAAGCTAGAAAATGGCCAAGGTGTTCACACTCAGTGCTGCCTAACTCCAGAGTCTGTGCTATTTCTGCCATGCCACAAAGATCCTCCAGTACTGGGTTTCTTTTTACTATCTTATAAATAAGCCAATACTTTCAACTGTTTACAGTCCTTCCTTCCCATAGATCACGTATATAACAAAATAGGTTTTTATTCAATTTCATGTAGCTAATGAGGAGACAAGCTGGGCAGAACTAACATTACTCAAAAACTATCACAGCATGATGTTTCCTGAAGCTTTCCAGTGAGGTTAAGAAAGACATCTTGGGATAATGGAAAGTATGAAACACATGAGCTGTCCTCTGGCTCCACTGCATATAAGCCATGTGACCTTGAGCAAGTCACTTAACCTCTATGACCCATAGTTTCCTCATCTGTGATACTGAATTCATAAGATTAACAAAGAATCTATAAATAGCATCATCTGCCTCACAGGACTACTGTGAAAATCACAAGATAAAATATATGAAAGGGCCTACTATAGGCACAAGCAGCATTATACCATTCAAATAATGTTCATTTTACTTTTCCAGATTCATTTTTTTTTATTACTAAAAGGCCTGAAATAAAATCTATAAAGGAAAAAAAGGGGAAAACTATCCTAATTAAATGTTTGTGTTTACCTCCAGAAAATGCACTTGTACATGCTACTTGTTGAAACAGTCTGGCCTAAACCAAGTCCTGTACTCATCAGCACAGTATATGTATAGCTCATGTCAGCACCCGGGGTGAGGGGCACTCGGGCGTACAGCTCATGTCAGCACCCGGGGTGAGGGGCACTCGGGGCTGGCCTGGGAGTGAGGGGTTTTGTTTGTTTGTTTGTTTCTTAACTTAAAATGGATCTTCTTGCTTGCTAACTCTTGACACACAGTTGTATAGCTCATGTCAGCACCCGGGGTGAGGGGCACTCGGGGCTGGCCTGGGAGTGAGGGGTTTTGTTTGTTTGTTTCTTAACTTAAAATGGATCTTCTTGCTTGCTAACTCTTGACACACAGTAATGTAAAGGAAATATTTGCTGACTGAATGGAAGATTTTTTTCACTTTGGAGTAGGTAATAAAGAAAACAATTCAGACTGGCCGGTTAGTTTACTCAGTACAGTATGGTGCTGATAACACCGAGGTCATGGGTTCAGATCCCTGCACTGACGAGCCACCCAAAAAAAAAAGAAAGAAAGAAAGAAAACAATTCATCTTTGAAGAAAGCAGTATCTTTAACTATTCATTAGGCAACAACACTTCAAATCTAATGAACAAAACTTTTACCAAAAGTTCTCTCCTCCCATCATTGTATAAGTTATTGTGACACTCCAGACATAATTTTCATGCCTTTGCATTTGAAAAGACACTGGCACTCTTAGAAATATTATATGCCTTGTTTAATTCACGGTAGAATGTGGAAAAGTAGCTGTGAAAATAATTCATAATAGATTATAAACTGACAAGTCAAGATTTCACTAAGTCAGGACTTCCCTAGGCAGCCCCATTTGGGGGCTGTTTACCTGTTTCTGATAACTAGGCTTATAAGTCCTGTCTTTTTTCTAGACCAGGTGTTCATTTCAGGCAAAGAACAGTACAGCTGATCTGAAACTGTTTTCCTAGTAAAAGTACAACACAAAAAGGGATTAAAATTTAAAATTTCACATTCTAACTTAAATAAAAGCCAAGAAATGGACGCCAAAGACCTAACCTCAGATAAAACTAATGGCACGGTGTTAGTCTGTGGTTACTCCCATCTGCTCCCCTGAATCCCGATAGTTGCCCTCTTGGAGCAGGATAGGCAAATCTGAAGGAGAGGATGCTGACCTCACTTCAACACTAGTGTTATGAGCTTTGGAAAATAATTTTATTTGATTTATGTCTCTAGGTCAGTGGTTCTCAAGGTACGGTTCCCTGCGCCAAGCCTCGGGTTAGACATACTTCAGGTCATTTACTATCACCGTCTCATGTGGCCGGTCACCCCCACAAACCTAGCAGAAAGAAGATGCCACCAATATCAATACCACCTACCGGTCAAGCATGTTGCACAGGGAGATTTAAATGAAGTCACACAAACCACCCTGGGTTCTGTCTATAACACAAGGTTCACATCACAGCTGAGAAACCTGAAGCTTGAAAGTTAAGTATTATGCAAACATATCTTCACATTTCTATAACAGGGAATTCTGGGGAAATGTACTATATTTTTGCCCTGACATAAATATTTCCAACCTATATATAATTAAATGAAATACAAATACCTGCCACATTTCTACCTTCCTTTTCACTTCCTCCTTTTCTCCAAATTCATTTAAATTTGCCAGGGCTTTGGCTGCCAGTATTCTCCTTGCTTCGACACTCAATTCAGATTGCAAAGCAGGGTGTGGTGCTGCTTCAGACAGAACTTTGCTGTCCTGGGTTTCGGGTCCAACCAAGAACTGTGCTTTGAGACTGGAGCTGCAGTCCAGAGGGCTGTGGTGAGTCCCAATGTCCTCCTCTAAAGAGCCTGGGCCCCAACCACCATGAGTTTCACAGTGACAGTGGGCTACTTGCTGGCGAGAAGGGTTTGGATCCTTACAGACATTTGCAGAGTTGGGTGTAACTGGTTCCCCAGGGTTGTGTGAACCCGAAACACCCACAGAGAAGGTTCTACTTTGCTGTATTTCCTTTGGAATATTCCTCGTGTGGAAAAGTGGTGGCCCAGCATCTTTGAGTCCTTCCAAGCCTCCAAGCTTAGACTGACTCCAGAAAGAAAACGTGCTTCGAACCAATGCTTCCTTATGTAAATCTAGCTCTGGAGGCTGTGGGACATCACAATGGCTTATGGGCCTCTGCTGCCTGAGGTTATGGCAAAGCAAGACCTGGGCAGGCATTGTCCACGGAGTCTCCCCTTGGTCCAGGAGTGACTCAGCCTTCTTTAAATCTGAGTCACTATAGCTGAGCAGCCTTTTCGGATGAGTCAGGGGTTGAAGGCACTCAATGTTCCGCCTCTTCCAAAGGGGGTCAAACTCTTGCTCATTAGAAAGATTCTCAAAATCTGCCACCAATACAGTAGGGTTAAATGGGTCAGACGTGTCACTGTCATGCCTCAGTAACTCTTTATCCAGCCGCATTGTGACCATCTCAGACACGGTTTTTTCAATTTCAGCAGAGAGACTAGATCCTTCGAACATGTCCTTCATCACCACTGGCCTGTTTTCAGCTAAGTCCAGCAGTAATTTGCAAACTAGGTGGATAATTTTTGGCACGTGTTTCAGAAGTCGGGCCTCAGAACCATGGAGCAGATGACGCTGGCGAATTAGATATTGAGCTAAGGTGACAGCATGTGCTTTGGGATCACAGCAAGAGAATATATTGCGAAGAGGAGTGAGAAACTGAGTAAATTCTCTTACACAGAGTAGCTGTCCTCTGGTTTGTATGGAATTGGGTCGCTTTGCCCGCACAAATATAATTGCTTGGTCAGCAGTCATTCTCGTTGCAAAAACTAAATAACATGCTATTAAAACACCTAAACAGTGAAAAAAGATTGGTATAAGAAAAGCTTATATTTTTGTTTATTTAGTTTACTTATCACTCTTTCATAATTTTTTTTTTTTTTTGGTCCTTTTTTGAGACCGGCCGCACCGCACTCAGCCAGTGAGCGCTGTGAGCGCACCCGTCATCCCTATATAGGATCCGAACCCGCGGCGGGAGCGCTACTGCACTCCCAGCGCTGCACTCTCCTGAGTGCACCACGGGCTCGGCCCTTTCATAATTTAAAACGTGAATATGTACTACGAAATCATATAAACAGAGGCACACTTTAAGGACAATTATAATGACAACTTTGTAACTTTTACTGAGTGCACCACGGGCTCGGCCCTTTCATAATTTAAAACGTGAATATGTACTAAGAAATCATATAAACAGAGGCACACTTTAAGGACAATTATAATGACAACTTTGTAACTTTTACGCAGATGGTTATTATTGCACTCCCCTTATTGTGCAGAACTACATCTATCTACGTGTCTACATGGCCCTCCCTCCCTATGACTGAGTCCTGTCTGTACCCCAGAGATGGGCTGGCACAAGCAGTGGCACAGTGTAGGTGAGTGAGTGTGGTGCAGGATGACTGCATGCACTGAGTCGTTTACTCCCCTGTCCTTCTACCCAACTCCAACATGGAAGAAAGCCCATCTTAGTTCTATTTTCCACTCTCAACAACTCTTGAAAATTTCCATCAAATCTATCCACCCACTTTGTGCTTGGAACTTGCCAACCCTGCCATTTTTGCAATGCTGGCACATTCCAGCCTGGCAACCTCTCTACTAGGTAAGTTTTTTCTTTGGGGGATTATTCATGTTCATAGCCTACTTTACTTCCTGACAATTCTTCCAGACTTATGTCTACATTAATGTAAGTATTTTTCTCCCCACTGTGATATTTTTCCATAAGCAAGTAATAATATTAAGGAAGCCAGCCTTAATAGTGTAAACAATATATATTCTTATTAATTAACATCTAATTAAAATGAGTAACTAATGAAAAGGTAATAACTGATCAATTAGTTCAAATATAATAGCCAATTAATATTAAAGTAAAAGGCAAATCAAAGACACCCATGTAATTCACAAGTTTGTGAACATCCTGTTGCACATGAAAATCAGAACCTCTGGAAACTGAATGTTCACCAGTTCATAGTAGGGTACCACATATCTTTCTCACTAGGAATAGCAGATCTTTAAGTGTAAGTATAAAATATCAGCAGAGCTATCATGTGCAATGCCCAGGAAACAGTGAGATTTCAGCTTGATCCTAAGAACTAATGATCTCAAGCAGAGCTGAGTCCCATCCCTGAGGATGCTCCCAGGCAGGTGGGAGATCCCCTGGCAGGTGTACAGGTTCACTGTGGATGAAGTCAAGTTGCAGGTATTTAGTCAGACCAGATGACGATGAAGATTTCAACCCTGAGACCTTTATTTTTGCCCTAATACCAGCACTGTAATGAGATTCTGCTGAATTTTTAAGTAAAATCACTGATTTTTATATAGAATTCTAGGCTCAGATAGACTCTCCTTTGCAAACAAAATCCTTACACCCCCAAAAGTAGAAAGCACATGAGCTTTGGAGTCAGACAGTCTTAGATTTAAATCTCCGCCCTGCCACTTATTAAATGTAGCCAATTACTTAACCTCTCTCAAACTGCAGTTTCTTTGACTCACATTGTTGCTAAAGATTTTAAAAGGCAGCAAATGTAAAATGCTTAGAACATAATAGGTTAAACAATGCTTGCTATTTTCACTGTTATTTTGGTTAAGGAAAATTTCATTTTTTAGAAGATATTATGTATTAAAATGAGGTGTTGATTTTTTTTCATGTAAATAGGAAAATCGGAAAACAGAAAGGTCATTTACCTAGCTTTAGAAACTCATCTGTTTACTAAATATGATGAGCTTTCAGCCCTAAGTCGTTCAAAAATATTCTCACCAACATGTGGTCATTATTACTGTTTAAGATCTCTCAATTATCTTTTATTTGCTTCCACTTGACTGTAGAGCTTTGAACAGATTCTGAAAAAGATTTATCCTTAGAATTAGGAAGTTTTATTTCTTATATGTTTAAATATGCCTACAAGAAAATAAAACCAGCTCCTAGAATTTACCTGTTCGGCCAAGTCCTGCATGGCAATGAACAGCTACTTTTCCTTCTTGTAAGGCAAATGTCATCACCTTAACCATATCTAAGAGGGTGGTAAGAGATGCTACACCGTAATCCTTCCATCCAAAATTGTAGAAATAAACTAGGCCATAAAAAAGAGAAAAGGAAAAAAAAAATCAATATACAGAAAAAATATTTGCAAAGACATTTGAAGGAATCGAGTGAATTCATGGAAAGTATAAAGCCGTAAGCCATGTAGATCTCACTGGATATACAGGCCTAAAATAATAGGCTTTTTACATTCCCAGTAAGTTTATTGTTAAACATGTCTCACAAAGCATATCCTATATTATCTGAGACAGTTCCTACTGAAACTAAGCCAGAAAAAATTATGGAAAAGTAGAATTATAAATTAATGAAGACAATGATCCACACTAAAGTTACTCAGCTAAAGAAGAAAAGCATACACTCTTGTTTAAGCGTGGAAAAATGTCTAAATGGCTGACAGAAGGCTAAAGACAGTATATATATATATGTTTTCTACCTAGCGTAAAAAAAAAAGCTCGACACAAACTTCTTAAAAACAAGTTCCAAGATTGTACACGTTTATCCTTTCTAGCCTGGTTTGCATGGCACATATTGAGTGGATTTCATCCCAAAGGCTCCTGCAACTAAGGAGCCTCTGGGACTGTCACAAGAAGACTCCCTGGGCATGCCTGCAGGGGTGGGGCTAGCAGCACTAAAAGCAGGAATGTCCAGGTTCCAGTCCTGACTAAGCTCCTGCAACTAAGGAGCCTCTGGGACTGTCACAAGAAGACTCCCTGGGCGTGCCTGCAGGGGTGGGGCTAGCAGCACTAAAAGCAGGAATGTCCAGGTTCCAGTCCTGACTACCATTTTTAAGCTTTGTGATCTCGGGCAAGTCAGTCACTCTTTAAGCATCTATGGCCTCATGTATAAAATAAAAATAACAACAATATGTTACACAACTGCTTTAAGGATGAAATGGGATAATAGTGTCTGGCATACTGTGGGCATCACCTAATGTTAACCATTATTATTACAGGGTCTCCTCCCAATATCACTTTCACAGAAAAAAAGAAACTCTGAGCTTTCAGCAGCAATACTAAAGAAGAATGGCAGCATTATTTAAAGTCCAAGTTAGCATATTTTCATTTTCTATGAACCTTATTATAATGTAGCAGGTATTTATTTCCATCACTTTTTTAACCTAAGATCCCAGTCAATAAAGATCTCTGAGTACTGTCCTTGATAATTCAAGGAGAGGAGGGTGGGAAGGAACTTACTGCCAGCCTCCATGAAAGCTTCAGGAAGGTAAGTGAAGCCACTTTCTTGTTCCAGAGGGTTCCCACAGCTAGCATGCTCACCAGGGCGCTGCAGGTTGATTATTGTTTTTATGCCATGGCTTAAAGGAAAAAGAGCAATCAGTCATATTGGGAGCTAGCATTTTTTAAAAAAATTAACCATTTTTGGCCGTAATAAAACATTATTAATTACTCTCATAACCTTAATTTCTTATTTGAAATAAGCTCTTCATTGCCTATTATTAAAATGAAAGCTTTTGTCCACTCAAAGGCAGAAGCAATGAAAGAGAAAACACGACAGTTTGCTTACTAGTGTGTGTGAATGATGCAGCATTTACCTGAGGAACTGCTCGATAAGGTGGTATCTCTCAAGGAGCTCAGAGGATGGCCGAGCCATGGCCAGGATGTTATCAGTGACCCTGCAGATGGGAGGAGGGACTGGTGAGATGCACAAAACATAGAATGTCCCCACTCCAAGGACTGAGAGATGAGTTTTCTATAATTTCAATACCTCTGTAAAGAATATGCTCATACAAATTTGGCTTCAATTTTGCATCATGATTAGAGCTCTAAGCAATCCCGGCTTCTTTTTTTTTTTTTTTGTCTTTTTGTCTTTTTTCGTGACCGGCAACGGATTGCAACCCTCAGTGTCACGCCCGTACTGGACCGGAACCGGCAACGGGATCGCAACCCTTGGTGTTGCCCCCGCTCCTCGCTCAGCCAGTGAGCCGCCGGTCTGCACATGGGATCCGACCCCTCGGCGGGAGCGCCGCCGCGCTTCCCAAGCAGCGCACTGTAGCAGTGCGCCACCGGGCCGGCCCGCAATCCCGGCTTCTTTTTTTTTTTTTTTTTTTTTT